TTTCATTCCTTTAAACATATTTATTGTTGGATTTTATGTTTAATGGAAAAATAAGGTAAAGTTTCTGACAATCTTGCAAGTTTTACTTTTCCTGTGGTTTTACTGAATCAGACTTTACACCACCTGTTGTTGCAAAATTAATTTCCATGCAATTTTCCTTATCTCATTGATTTATAAACAAAATTGTAATTTTGAAATACATGTTATATAGATAAATTAAAAAAGAATGTTTTGAGTGATAAATTTAGAATTTTATTTACATTCTAATGTTTCTATACTGATTTTTTAAAGTCGTATGTTAGATACAAACCTTAATGAAAAAATTGCAGTAAGAGAGATCTGTTCCTGTCAAGTTTTCTTGATTAATTTTGCTTTGTTAAAAGCCTCATAGAAGAAATAATGGAATGAGCTTGTATTTAACTGCTGACTTTGGATTTAAAGTCATCATCATATGAATGCTTAAATTATATAAGAATACCTATACTTCAAAGCTTCTCGTATCCCCAATGAATCAGTGATAAGTTTATGGGGTTTGATTCCACATGGTGGAAAAACCACAGATAGCTCATTTTGTAGCATTGCATTAAAGCAACAACAACATTTAAACTTTTTTTTACATAATACCCTATCAGAGGTAAGTTTATGCAAAGAAAAAAAAATCTCAATTGATAGCAAGGACATTTCTCTGAAAGAAACCAAGCTGAAAACCACAGTATTAAAAAGTAAAAATGTGCTAACTCATGCAAATAAGTAATACCTTTCTGGTGAGCTGAGCTTCCAGTGTGCATTAGACCTGACTGATAATAAACACAATTTTAGAGTATTGAATTATTCCATGATAGTTATTGCGATGTGCTTAATTACTAGATTGATTTGGCAAACTGTTTAAAAACATTGGGTGTACCGTACAGTCATTATATACTGTCCACTGTTTTATCACAGAAAAGAAAAAAAGGTAGTAAATACAATCTAAATAATGTCAGCTGGTAAACAGACTTATCTTGACAATTTGTACATAGTATCTATTACTCAGCCTTTAAACTTCTTTGGGTTATACAAATAAGTAAAGCTTTACAGATACAGTTTTGAATTTGATATTTCTACATCCACACTTGTATGCTACCCCCTTCTAGGCCATTCAAAGTTTTATCTCTTATAATTTCCTATATAAAAAAACTAATTGCTTGGTTGTTTACAGGCAACAGCAGAGTAGGTTATTCACATGACCAAATAAAAGAGTATCTATATTGCATTCTTACAGTATCTTTTAAACATAACTAGGATACGGGTTCTTGTTTGCATATCTAATATTGTCAGTGATAGAAAATGAGGATACATGTTTCAGTATTAAAATAAAATAAGGAATTTAGTGATGGGTCAAGGGATTTATTTTTTAAAACTCCTAGAAAGTTGATTCCATTATTAAAATTTAAAGAACAGGTAACCTCAGTTGTGTATTATTAAGTATGTTTGATCTCTTTTAGTACAGAAAAATTATTGTAAGTGAACAATTATGTGATTTACAATCTTTATACACAACAGAAATAAAATTTCAGAAATTTAAGTCAAGTTCGTAGTTTTAATTAAAGTACATTTTGTGTGGCACACAAAAAAATACATGCTGTTGGTGGTGAGAGTTTTAAATGATCTCAGTTCAGACAATCTGTACATCCTGTACAAAAAAAAAGAACCATTTCTTTAATATATTAACACATTTATGTTGCTACAGGTTAAACGCTACACAGCATTTGCTCAAAATCAAATGACTAGGGTTAAAACAGATATCCCTATGGATTAATGTACATATTTTGTTGCAATTTCTACTGTGCTACCAAGTCGCAGCTTTAAGAATCAAGAAAGCAGCACGATATTTTATATTGTTTTTTTATCAGTGAACACAATGACTAAGACATACAAATATTCAGAGTAATAACAGGTTTTTTTTACATTGAATATTGTGTATACACAATCAAGTTTTCTTGGGCATTTAAACTAAAGTATATTCTTATCATTTGGATTTATAATACACAAGTACCTATACATTACATTGTTTCTGAACATTAATCAATTTAAAAACGTGTTTTCTCTTTAGGTAAAAGGGAGATGTAATATTAAACACCAACTCTCTTAGATCAATGTTTATATTTACATATTGTCACATCACATTTCATTCACAAAATACATCAGTTTTGTTGGCTCATCTTAAAACGGGAAACAAGGGCAGTTTTGTTTTTTGTTCTTTCTTTTTTTTCGCTTTGCAAACAAAGCGAAAAGAGAATAATAGTAATAATAACATGCAATCTATCATAAAAGGAAAACCTTTTGAAAAATATTAAGGCCACACTGTTCCTTCAGTTTTTTTCACAATAATAAGCCTCAGTTCTTTGAATTGGATACAAAATGAAAAGTCATTACTTTTACATAAGTGTGACACAGAGCTTGCCTATACTATATTCATGTATGTTGTAATTTGTTAGAAAACAATCACAACAACTCCAAATGGTACTTGAAAACCACAGTGTTATACTCGCTAGTAACATGGCTCTAGGAACGAAATGATGAATGCATTTTTACTATTTCATGTTTCACTTATCGAATTATATTACGTATAAGGTTCAGGAATTAACATTTACTTGTATTTCTGTAATTAGAATTGTAACTTACTAAATTTTAATTGTACCCTGTATTAAATTAAATTCATACTTGATAACAGTAACTGTGAGGAACCGTGGGTTATAACCCAAATTTTTAAACTGGTGATAATTGTCATTGCATATTACAAAACTCTTAAAATGCTAATACCTATATTTAATTTGTGAAGATCTAAATAACCTCCTTTGCTGTCATGATTATTTTAAACACTACACTTACCATAATGATAAATTCTGACAACACAATACCTAAAAGTAAACAAGTCTACAAAATGAACCAAAAAGTATGCTTATTTTATAATGTACAACTTTTTCAAAGGTCTAGGAAAAAAAAAAACCTAGAAAATTATGTTACCACTATCCTCTGGATTTATTTATTTCAGTGGGGATTATCTAATTTTTTCTTTGCAAGCTATATTGCTCAGTTAAGAAGAGTGAATAACATTATTCAGTCGGCATAATACAGTGTTTATCACAGAATCATTTTCGGTCCAGGACACTTTCGTAGAACATTACCCTCTTCTCTGGACTTCTTATGTATGGTTTATTATTTAGGTATTTATAGACATGAATCATTAATTAACGCACAATTGAAAACAATGTATAGATTATAACAATATATCTTTTCCTCAGTTAACTGCTGTCTTTCATAAAATTACTAGATTATTTCACTAGATGAAAAATATGCACCCAAAACGAACACTAAGATTATTTCGGAATACTTCTCTCATTTTTCTGAAAGTGTTGAAATAGCACTGGCTGATGTGAGTACAGATGTTCATCCCTGGGAATATATTCACTATATTATAAATATGTTACTACAGGTTCTCTAAAATCCATACTAAGTTTAACAAATTACTATGAGGGGGAGTAACAAAAAGATTTGAGGTCTTGGGTATGATACCTAGGCCTATAAAAGAATATAATTAAAAGCCCAGATAATATTGTTTTTAAAGTGACTTTGTAAGTTACTTCACAATTTACTGAACATGCAAGTCGTTAATGGTTAACAATATGAATTTTAGCTTGCACTGAAAGTGCTGCATTATAAAACTAAAAATTTCAACTCATTTCACAGAGAAAGGCTATGATTAATTATTATTTCAACCTGCCACCAACCCATCTTCTACTCGTATCCACAAAGTTTCAAACATTTAAAGTAAATTCCAAGTTTTCAAAATCTGAAAATACCAAGATTTATGTGTGTTGTACTCAAAACCTATGTTCTGAGACTGAATATTATTACATTGTTTGGAAAATGGTTAATTCCGGGTTCAATAAATGATGAATACAATAAACTGTAACTTGCTTTGTATTTTGTGAATAAAATACCTGACAATGAAATATATTTCACTTTATTATACAAAAACTCTCATTTTAAAACATTTTTGTCATTACTTACTGCACATATACTTATCCAATTCTTTTTTAAACCAAAATTTAAATTTCATCTTGTTTTCCATTTAATACAATCTCAAACATTACTGCTGTGTATCTTAAAATTATGTTTTATAACTCTGATAGGATCACAACTTACCATTATGCTATTCATTGAACTTACACACCCGACAAAACCTTCCATTACGGTTATGTATGAAATCTAATTAATTCTAAAAACACTTTGTAATTTATGCATCATATTCTAACAAGTCTTTTCCTAAGTGTTATTTTATCTCTTACTAAAGCCTCTCGTTTTACCTCAACATATACTTAATGGTTCTCATCTTTCACAACAACTATCTCCAGTTTCTAATATGTATTAAAATCGTACTAAGTAATTAAGCATGTACTTGTTAATTATTACAAGATTTTCTCTACAGTTGAGAACGCAATCTTCTCTACTTTGTGAATTAACAGCAGCAGGAAGTAAACAAGTCCAGATCCATGCAGTTATGGGGATTATTTGTTAATACAGAGACTTGTAATTTGGTCCAGGACCCACTTTTCTATTCCTTAGTTGTCTCTTCTTTTCTCGAATCATGTTTTCAAACTCCACCCTACATTAGTAATAAACTCTGTAAAACTTTTAAACATGACAACATGGCATAAAACTTTAACAGATAAACGTGACACTTAACCGATTACATCAATTTTTATTTGTAATTTTTTTGTATTTACTAAATACTAATATTATTAGAAAAGAATGAAATATGTGTTGGTGACAAACTGAATTATAAGAAATGTACTAATATTATTAGTCAATATTTTAAACTACTGAAAGAAGTAATAACCAAATTGGTATTATAGAAAGCTTGTAGTACAGTTTTTACAGCAAACTCTTACTAAGAATTAATAATAGTCAGTGTTAAATAGCAGCAAACAAGGAAGTTACCTTTAGTCTAAAGGAAGGGTTAGGCTTCCAGTGCTTTTTCCTCATCAAATCTTGAGCATTTTATAGATAAAAAGTTATGGTTAGTTCATCAGGTATTAACTTTGAAAGATTTGGCAAGGGAGTTAAAATCTGCCAGAACATTATTATACAAACTAAATCATTCAGTTTAAGCTTATTAATGTCTGAAAAACTAATATATTATATTAAAGGTTATGTATTAAAAGTTAAAAAAGATAAAAGGTGCCAGTTAGAGAAATGCAACTGAACTATAGATTTTTTAAACACACATTGTCCTGCAAAAAGTATTCAGACTTGGTCCTTCCCCAAATAATGCTCTATCAGGGGATGATTGAGTATAAATACATATATAAAAACATCTCTGGTAAATTAGTTATGTTAAAGTAGATGCCAGATAATAGAATTTTATTTATTTGAGATGGGTAAAGTTCATAAGCTTCTGGTATGTTATAGCATAGCAGTACGACAACAACAAAAAGATGGGGGGGGGGGGGGCAGCTAAATATGCTAATAAAGAATAACAAACTCGCTTTTAAGAATTATGAAAAAGTGCTGCAAATAATTTTCTCAAGAAATTCATATAGTCTTTACCCCTCACACTATACCCACATAAAACATATAATACTGTAAAGCATACTTCCCCCCACTAAAGTTTACAAAATTAGGTATTCAAATCATTCATGAACCCCACCAATACCCAGTAAACTTTTGTTTGATGTCAAATTTTTGGAATGAATCTGAGTGATGAGAGTCATTTCATGACATCACTCAACTCCCTTTATGTATCACTCATTCAATTATACCACCATTCCCAGTTTGCCCCTGAAGAAGAAAGGTCCACTATTCAAAAGCACTTGGGTTATAGGGTTTTTAGCATCTTGTATCAAGACATCTTGAGCCTATGTTTTTTTTTCTGACATCAGGGAAACAAATTCTAATACTCTTGAACAAAATAAGCATGATAATTCTGTCAGAAATTTCACCTCAAATGTTTTGTTTAATTTCACTTTTTCAGCTGTAAGTGTCACACGATTGAGCAAAGTTATAGCTATCAAACAGGAGCACAGTGTCATTTATTTTAAACAAATTGCTGATATTTCATTGAGTTGAATTTTCTGATCTCTTCATTTTACTACATTATTAGTTGTAACTTTTAAAACAACATAATAATTCTACTTACTGTTTGACTTTATCAGGAATGCAAACATCATCCATAGGAATTAAATCTGACAACTCTTTCAGATTGTTCACAAATTGTAATTTCCGGCTGAACTTGGAACTGTTGTCATGTTTGTAAAGTAAAGTAAAGGATACTGTTATCTTATGTAAAATAGAGCAACAACATGTGCATTTAATACACAAAAACAGTCCAAAATAAGAGAAAAACTTGCTTTCAAATCACACAAAAAATTTATTACATCAACAAATATTGACTGATATTTTTTTTTACCCCTGCATAACTAGCCTAGAAGTATACTTAATCAACTGATAGTTAACAACTAGTAAACTACATTTAAACTTTCAATGATGTGAAACATATCACAGAGAAAGATATACAAAACTATATATGTTTTTTTTTACTTTTTAGGGATGAATATGTTGCAAATTACTTAATTTTGGAGTAAAAGCATTATTTCTATGACTGGTGATAAATGTCGTTGTAGTGTTAAATTAATATAAGATTTCAAATCTGAAAAGGAGTCGTTAACAGCTTGGTATAATTTATAAAAACATAAACCTGTCAAGATCCTTATTCTTCATTATTGTATTTATTTTCAAAAAATAAATGCAAGTTTTGGACTTTTTTTTTGTGGAAAAAACAAATATATATATATTTTCAACATAACATAGCTTCATATACTTTAAACTTTCCAAGCTAGAAAATTCTGGTAATTCTTATTCTTTGTATAAGAAATATTCTCTCTTCAATTCTTCCAGTGTTCTTATGTTACTTGCCTATGGATATGTGTTGATAATTGCAGTTAGGACTTCCTCCAATGTTATTATGTTACTTGTCTATGCCTGTCATGAGGAATTGTGCCTATGTGTTATTCAAGTGGGCCTTCAGAGGTCACTATCCATTTACAGTTGATAAACTTTGGAAATAAAGTATAAAGGAAGGAGATACTATTAAATCAGTTGAAACTGTGCTGCAGAGCAACAGTCCATAGCCAGGGCCATCACTAAGAACGTCACCGGTGTTGGAAGAAGGGACTTTAAGGTCTCAGAACTCTTCCACATGTTATTACCATACATTGTGAACACCCCATTGTATAAAGTTTGGAGACGGCTTGCATGGGCAGTGAAAGAAACTTTAATACAAATGTACAATGTTTTGACAAGCTTATGTCATCATCAGTATCTAATGATGACATTAACTTGTTGAAACATTGCACATTTGTAATAAAAAAATTTTCACTACTCATTCAAGCCATTTCTAAACTATATTTTCTCAAAAGTAGGTTCCTCATCATCAAACACCATTATCTAATAACTAAAATAACAAAAAAAAGTTACAAATCCAACTAATGATAAGCTTCATCTTCCTTACAGGTTTCAATATCCACAAAAATAATTTCAAAATATCCTTTAGAGTTGTGCAGAAAATGCAATTTCACATACAAGCAATTTAATTGTTTATTCTACAAGAAAGGGCTTATCTAGTTACAAATGAGGTAAATATTAAATTTTAAAAGAGTTTGGGTTTTTTATGAATTTTGTGCAAAGCTATCTGCATTAGCCATCCCTAATTTAGCAGTGAAAGACTAGAGGGAAGGTAGCTAGTCGTCATCACCCACTGCTAACTCTTGGACTACTCTTTTACCAACGAATAGTGGGATTGGCCATCACATTATAATGCCCCCAATGGCTGAAAGGGCGAGGATGTTTGGTGGGACAGGGATTCAAACCCGCGACCCACAGTCGTGTTCCCTAACCACCTAGACATGCCGGGGCCCACTGTTTGATGAAGCTCGCAATAAAAAATTAAAACCATACAAATGTGACAACAAAAAAAATCCTGATTTAAAGAACCAAAACAGCAATAGTATCACAAAAGTTTATAAAGGCCAAAATGAAAATATCTAACTGTTCTAAAAAAACATACAATTAACCCTCTATGCACGGGTGAGAGTCAAAGTGCATGCCACGATTTTTTACAGAGTGCTATTCAATACGATATTATTTAATGTCAGAGTTATCAAGTATTCATTTCACTCTACATTATTGACTTAGGAACAATTTGTAAATACCAGATACAATATATAGGGTTACTGAAAAAAAAAACACTTTAGTTTTGCATTTGTAGTTTCTAGAGGTTATACAAATGCAATATGCAAACTGTACGATGGTCAACTATTTTTATTCTTTATGAACATCATCTTGCACTCTGACTACTCAGAATCTGAGTCAAACTGACATCATCAATTCAAAAATTTCTCTTGATTACAAATACTTTTGTAACAAATCTAATTTTTTGTGTACATCAGACTTTTACATTTGACTAAAAGCTTGCCTCGTTTCACACAGATACATATAGTAAATTTGGAATTATAGTCAACATTCCCTCTCCAGTATGGAGATAAGTTAGGTAGAAGGAGCAACTCTACAGTTGTAAAACGAACACATTAAAAACCAATACAAGCAAGTTATAAATTAAACAGAGTATTTTAACATGTATATAAAAGATAAAATATCTCAAGTAGTCATATATTTGTTATTTAAAAAAAAAAGAACCATAAAGACAAAACATATTGGATTTCTTCAAAGAAAGGCACTAAGCTTTGCCTTACCTCACACATATTATGATCAAAACATTAAATATTCAATTCCGAAAAACATTATATATCATTCAAATCAATGATACAATAAATTAATTGCATCAAAAATCCTTAGACAGTGACCAAAGATAAATGACTAAAGGAAAATCAAAGATCTGTACATGTTGATCCAAAATCCAGAAAAGACAATATGTAAAATGATATAAACTCAACAACATGAATTAAGCAAACATTAAGAATTTCAGATGAAAGTTAATTAATAAAACAATGTTAAGAAATGTCTGGTGACAGAATGAAACTCAGTTGGTTTTTTTCAAACTTGTTTAAGTTTAAAGTAGATCATTAGGTTGTAGTCAGACAAAGAAAAACCAATTTTCACACAAGCTTGAATTTATTTAAAACTTACTTTGAGTTCTTAACACAGCAGGTCTTGAAGTCAAAGTTAACGTTGTACAAGAGAAACTGAGAAAAAGCTTTCCATGTGAATGTAACAAAGAAAAATCATAGGCAGTACAATAATTACACGTAAATTTTACAACTGCTGTAAAGGTAAACTAAAACCTTTTATCTTTTCTTCCTTGTATTATATCACTCTAACCTGATTATAACACTATTTTAATTTCAGGTGAAAATGCTACTAACCTGATAAATGGCTTGGTCATTATGACAATAGTTTTTACCCAGAATGTCGGGTGAACAAGATACAACCCCTTTAGATTCTTCCTCAGTCTAAATACAGAAAACATTATGCTGATTCAACTTCTGTCACTAGTATGATCAATTTATCCTTCAGAAATAAATAAACTAGCTACAGATGAAAGTAAGTAATAAAAAAACTATTTCTGATACTGTTTAAAAGACATGGTTAACTGGTAATAGCTTGAAGAAGGCTCATGAAAGTGTACTAAGATGCCATCACCACTTACCTGTTTTAACGACAGCTATCTATACATAAAAAAATTGTTTTGACAAACTTCTGATATTATTGAAATACATTTTTTATTTGAATGATTGTTTACTTTGTAATATTAAATCAGTGGTATGTATACACTCTAAACATTAAACATGGTTTCTTCTAAGTGTATTTCTGGTGGTTTTTTTTGTAATACTGTTTATTATTAAAGTGGGATTTTCAAGTTATATGGAACATCCATTCTGCACTTATACAGATAAAATTCAGTTATAATAAATTTGAGAAAAAATACTGTTTAAAATTTTCTAATCCTCAATAATTAAAAAAAAATACTTTACCGGCTTTACAAAGATTGTGATAACTGAACAATATACTGCGAGATGTTTTCACACTAGTTACACCTACTTATAACAAACTGTTTTAAAGAAACTTATTAGCTAATTTTTGTGGGATTTTCTTGTAAACTTATAGACCAAATTTGATTACAACAGTGATTATTAGTTATGGAACTTTATCAAATTTTGATTATTTAGTAAGACAAGCTACATACTGATGACAAACAAAAAAGGTTACACTCCTATTAAGTGTACAAAAAAACATTGTCATCTATTTCTGTACCTTAAAGTTCTGTTTTTGTTCAAAACAAGGTTGATATTAGCATGGTACACTACCCATTAGTCTACAGGTTGAAACAGCCAAAAATGATTTGTCTAGACAAAAATAAGCAATACTATCCACTATGTAAAAATATTTCCATATGGTTGCATAAACAAGTAGGAAATATTCCAAGATTCAGTAGTTAAAGTCTATATAATTTTATACACACTTATTGTAATAGACAAAATAAAAATTATCTACATGTTGGACACTTAGTTACATACAATGATGACTGTAAATAAAAGTATTGTTTTCACTGATATTCTGGTATGACTTCTACTTCACTAAAGGCACTGCATAAGACACTGTATCATATGAGGTATAAATATTAAGAACATTCAACTGAACACTTTCTTTTTTTTATTAACAAAGTTAAAAAACAAGCTCTTGAAAAATAAGAATGAATGTTTAAAAGCCAATAATTTCTCAATAAGCATACCACAATCAACAGACTATATGATAAAACTGTGTTTTTATAATTTTATATAGAATATTACCTGCTTTTACAAAGCTTTAACGTAAACAGAATCATGTTTTGTACCTGTTATAGCTCCCGTATGAGAAATTAGTGTGCATACAGTATATTAGTATATTCATTTCACTATTAAAAAAAAACTCCCAAAAATACTGATTTTAAGATATCTACATGAAACTACAAAGGAACCCTGAAAAATATCAATTTTAAAACATCTAAATAAAACTATAAAAACAGATAAAAATAAATACCAAAAAACTGAAGCCATAGAAAAAAAACCTCAAGTGATGCAATGTATTAGTTTGTTCTGTGCAGTGATTCTCAACTAGGCTATCACTTCAGTTCTTGAGAGAAACCCTCAAACTAAATATTTCTGATATTTAATTGAATTCAAATTTTAGTTTAAAAAATCTATAATTATAAACTGTACAAAGTATTTTCATAATAAGATTTGTTTCTTACAACATCAAACAGATATTTATATGCATTTTAAACAACAAAGTTTCAGAAACCTGCTTGTTGAATCAGGCGAGTTTCCAAAACACGCTGTGTGGTTTGTCTCTGCCTTGCAAATTTGGAAGTAATGCAAGACTTCTGTGGGTACTATCAAATTACACAGTATTGAAAGAGAAAAAGAACAACAAACAGATTAAAGTTAAAGTTCTAAGACAATCTGCTGCCCTATTGTATTATAAGTTTTACTTTAGTCAAATTACAAACCTTCTATCTATCATTTGGTAGCATCTCTTAAGCCAGCCAAAACTGGGCATATTACTTCGCTGAGTGGCACCATGAAGATACACCAAAACATAATCTTCTGCAATCAGCTGATCTAATGTGGACAGAACATATCTGAAAAACCAGAACTATTAAGCCAAATTTTTAAAATTTAGAAATATAGAATAATAAATATATATAT